GCAGCTTCGGCAAAGGTGGGAGCAGAACTGCTGTTTCTGTGTTGCAGGAGACTGCCAAGGATGGCCAACCTGACAACAGTAGGTGGAAGCCACTGGGTCAAAATAGATCTTGTGTCTATGATGCTGCCTGTGACTTGAAAAACAAAGACTGTGAGAAAGATGGAGAAGCTGGCACTGCTCACGTTCAAGAGGTGCTGGTGGAAGTACGTGACAAGGCCCGGACTCCTGATCTAGAACTGAGGAGGGGCTCTCAGAGCTCCTCTGACTTTGAAATTCCCTTGACTCCTGATGCTGAAGTGCCTCAGCCAGAGAAACTGCACTGCTTATACAAAAAGCTAGCAGCAGGTGAAAACATACTCAATGAGAAAAAAGTCTCCTGAAGACAGGTATAACTGACTGCATCACGATAACAAGTACCGAAATTTGTTTATTAAACCCTGAATAATTTTTCCTCTTTTGTGCCAACTACTATCTGCAGCTGTGCTAATTCACGCAAATTTTACAGAAATATCTGACTGTTAGGACTAGAAATGTGCAGGGTAACTTTACTGGTCCTTCCATGAAACACTGAAAAGGAATTATTCCTAGGAGGGGCTGTAAAAGCTGCCTGCCTCCCACAGTTCAGTTCTCCAGGACTGAGTTAAACAAATAACAGACCAGGCAAAACTGCATGTAGAACACTAAATGAAATTTAGTGGTTTTTTATCATGAGCTCTAAGAGTTTGCCTTTGATATATATGTGATCTTGAGTTTTAATGAAATACCACATTTTTAACTGTGGGCAGGAACTTGGCATCTTTCAGGAATGACCATGCAAACAATGTAATAGTTACACTTGGACTTTAATCTTGAATTTTCGTTGCAGTCATTTTTTAAAACAACTGTAGAACAGATCAGAGAATTACTGAAAGTGTTTGGGTTTCTTTTTAAATCAAGCAGTCTCTCTTTACACTGAGCAGGTGTTGCCATCCAGTGTAACTCCTGAATGAGCTACTATACACCCATTGTCACAAATGACTCGTCATCAGTTCCTCCACATTTTAGGTGGTTCTGAATTGTTTTAAATTTTTAAAATAAAAAAAAAAACCTGTCGCATGTGGTTCCAAAGCCACTAGCAGTAGCCTGCTCTGGAGGCTCATAGCAACAGGCGCTAACCTGGCATGCTGGACAGGTTGTTACATTACTAAAAGCTCTTACATTACTGAATTTCACCTCCTCTGCAACATTCTGTCCTTTCTATCAAGACAATAGATTGTCCGTGCATGTTTGCTGTCAGAACAAACTCTTTGCCAAAATTCTTAGCTTCTAAAATGGAAATGTGATTCATTTTTTTGTTAAATTGCAGTGCCTGCAAAAATGCCTAAATAGCAGAAGTCATCTCTAAAAAGCCATGTGGTGTCCCATCCCTGAGGTCTCTGAAGTCCCAAAGAATTACGCAGACTTTTAGTACGCCAGCTCTCCCCTCTGTGTATGTCTTCAGTCTTTCTGCCATCTTCAGCAGTAGGTGATGTTAAAGCAGCCATCATTCTACTATTGGGAACAGTGGCAGGAGGGGGAAGGAGAAAAAAAAAAATTGCTATCATCGATGTGTGGTTTTAAGGATGTTCCAGTCCGTCTGTTTCTCCACTGTCACCTTGTGCTCTCCATTCCTGAGATCTGTTAACATGTGGTCTGTCAACTTTTTTTTTTAAGCAGGCATGAGTGAGCAAAGCTCCTCTTGTAACCAACTACCTCTGCGAATAAAGTCATACAGAGCAGTATTTCTTTCGTTGGCTTGTTTTCTTAACCATACTACACATGTAAGTTCAGGGCTGTGTTTACAGTGTGCTTAAACATAAAGGAACCCAGTCTCACCTTAGACAAGTTGACAGTGTAAATTTATACCAGCCATAAACTGAATAGGAAACACATGACTTCCTTGTGATTGCTCTACTACAGTCAATATAGTGCTAGAAAATTTGGGTACAGGACAGGAACTAAAAAGGACACAGTCTTAAAGCAAATTCTACTGCTCCAGCTAATTTAGACAGACAGGCTATGGTTTTGGGTTTTTTTTAAAGAATGACAACAACAAGAGAAAAACTAAATTTAATTTATTTTATCAAAAACTATAGGAAGATAGCAATACTAGAGATCACACGTTATGAAAAGAAAATGTTCCTGAGCTTACAAACTGCATATTCTAATGTACATTCCTAAAACATACATTAGAAATAACCAAAAGATTGACTTAACTTTGAGATTAAATAAATAGACAATAGCTTTTCTTACAGGTGATCTTGCAGCTTTAGTTTTTCTACCAAAAAAAAAAAAATTAAACCTAACAAAGAACAGCTAGAGGGTAGATCACAGGTTCCCAGTCTCTAAGAAGTGCATATACACAACTGAACTGGTGGCCATGATGATGCTAACAGACCACAAAGCAAAACAAAGGCAGAAGCCAGGCTGGTTTACGCTCCTTTAAGAAATTGAAAATAACTTATTTATCCTTTTCCGATTTGGCAATTTTCCCCCCAAACTCAAAAACAGCAAAAGGAGTTTTCAAAGTGAGACAGTGTCCCATTAAGCCAGTGCACTAACTGCAATCCAAATGCACTGTGAATGTGTAAATATAAAATACTGTTCAAGGCTCTAAACTGGAAACTGGATACATGGGTTTACTTCAAATAAATACAAAATACTGTTACCTCCCAGAACATAAATTAACAGTCCTTTATTTCTCACACAAGAGGTAACACACACATCCTTAAAGAACAGCAGGGCTATGCCAGCGCTGGTGGTAACATACGCTGCCTTGGGGAAAAGGCAGACACTGAACTCGAGTACAACTTCTAAGACTTTTACCTTTTAAAATGCATTTACCTGCCATTTTTAAATCAAACTGGGCACTGACAGATAGACAAAAAAAAGCACTGAACCAGCCCTGTCTCATCTTGTACAGGAGAGGCCAGAGAAACCGATTTGGTAAGGAATCCATTTCTTGCCGCAGCCCCTCTCGCCATCCCACACCGACAGGGAAGCTGCAGGCTGCAGCGGATTAAGGAGCTGGAGAGTGCAGATTCCATCCACGTGGAATGCATCGCTGAATTGGGCTACATGCAAGAGAAAGCACTAATGACTCCAAATGATGCAAGATCATCTAGAGTTTGCTAACATTAAGGCTCCACATTCCATTTCAATTTTATATATTTAAAAAAAATCATTAGAGATGTGTCATGAAAAATTTTACTAGATTCAGCAGTTATCCAAGTGTGTGGTAATGTCAAATTACCAAGAGCCTGGTAATGTCAAATACTTTTAAATCTAAGCGAACCTTCTCCTATTCACTAAACCATATAAAGTATCTATTTCAACGTGTGTCTCTCTGTATTGCAGATTACAAAACTTACACAGCACTTTCAATGGCCCACACTCATCGCCCCAACTGTGAAACTGGTTTTGGCCGGTAGCATATAAAATTTCACTTTTCTGCCAAAGAGCCGGATCATCAGTGCAAATGCAACTGTGCTTCTTAATGAACAAACAACCTGTATTATCCTTTAAAACACTCATCTTAGAGTGCTTAGTAATTAACATGAAATTTAAGGCATTTTCTAACAAATTAAGTAAATGGTTATATGCTGGGTACTTGACTTCATTCACCTGAGCCAACAGCTGTGCACCTTATAAAGGCAACTAGCTGACCTATGATACATAGCTAGCATCCATTTATGGAGCAACATTATTCTGCCTGACCCTATCTGACATTTACATGATTTGTAAGCAATATGCAAGTTTTACAAGCTTTTAATCCATGAGAATAAAAGACTTGAATCATCCCTGGAGCATGGTGGACCTTGGCTGTAACTCCACTCATAACCTACCTCAACTGCTCTTCAGTGTTTTTGAAGCCAAGCAAAACTTAGCGTACATTATGAACAGATTGAGACAACTTGAAGATAAAAAGACGACTCAAGCAGCTGAAGAACAGTACATTTCTCAGCTTTGACATTCAAGAACATCTTACAAATGTCTACAGCAAATGGGTAAACTCACCCCTAGTTTAACTTCACTGAAGTTAACATTTTTGCAACAAGAAAAAACAGGCCTAGTATCTTAAAAGTCTGTCACTAGATAAAAAGTCACAGTATGTAAAAACTTAATCAAAACCAGGTGTGAAAACAAAGCAATTCCCAGGGTATTTTTGCACCTAACGGATAATTGCGCCTATCTCCGTAACGCATCGGCTTTGTTAGACAACGGGCTGCTCTCCCTACTATTTCGTTATCTATTTCCAAACTGTAGCCAGTAGTTTGTTTCAGCAATAACTGCCAAACTTCTGCTATGAAAACAAACAGCCTATGTTACTACTGAAAAATCCGGTATTTACAAATTCTCTGTGGAACTGCAGCCCTCCTATAGCATCCTAACTACAAATCAGAACATAACAATTGGAAAAAAAAAAATCTATTTGTAAAACTTCTAAATAACATAACATCAGCTAAAAATGTTTGAGACCTTGATCTTACACCTTGGAATCTGCTAAAACCAATTGCTTGACTTGGTGGAGTTCAATGGACATTTTAAAACCTGCATTCCTGTGAACCTTCACTTAGACACAGTCTGATGGCTGACCTTAATTCTTCACCCTGGTACCATATATGTTATTGCTAATCTCTTGAAGCTGCTCTTTATACAACAACAACAACAAAATCAAAAGAACTGTTAGCTGTGATTTAGGTCTCAAATCATTAATGCCTCCAGACTTTTCAAGGTACAGAAAATATGTAACCTCACTTCATCCCATTGAAATCAGTTCCTAAAAGGCCTATGGCTGTAAGCTCACACTCAAATATTCAAATCAAGGTACATTTTAAAGAGTTTTCTTAGCATTCATTTTAATGCTTCCTAAATAACAGTTCTAGAAAATTCAATTTTTAATCCCCATTACCAGTCTGTATTTGCCTGAAACACGCTACCTCTCTCTTTGGCCAATGCCATTTCAGTTACGAATGTAATGCCTTGTTTTCATTGTACTTATTTACAGTAGATGTAAGAATACTGGAATACACGTGTGAAAGAAGAGTCTTCTTAAAACACATATAAAATAGAACAAAGTATTTGTGACTTTGGATACCCGAGCTCAGTTGAGATAACCTCTGCAACACACAGCTCCGCATTTACAGACAGTTCTGATCCTCTTTCTGGATGGGCTAAGACCATCAGCAGAGTCTGAAGTCAGATCTATTGAACCTGTGACACAGATAAACACAAATACAGACATTTTAGAAGACAGACTGAAACTGTGAAAGGTATTCAAATGGCTTCAAAAGCCTTCTACCACCCTAGTTCTTAAAAGAACTGTATGTGAAGCTATACTGACACACACATTACAACTACTTACACATGACCTAGCATACATATCAGAATCCAAAGCTCAACAAACTTCAGCCTTGTACCCTCAGGCTTGTATCCATAGTGGTGAGCTGAGACTGCAGCCTGCCTTGGATGTGTCACAGACACCACAAAGAAGAGGAGTTTTAAGGATTTAAATAAGATCAGTTTGTCAGCACTTAAAGAGAGCTACTACAAGAATGAGGTACAACTCTGATGTATCGAGATGCTTCTCTGAAAACAAGATAGCAGGGCAAACAACACACCGCTGTTGTGCATAAATGGTTTGCATGTGAAGTTTGACACACACAACACCCCTGCCAGCAAACCTCAAGAATTTTTTTTATCGTACTGGAAAAAAAATCCTAAGTCATAGAATGGTTTGGGTTGGAAGAGACCTTTAAAGGTCTAGCCCAACCCCCTGCTGTGCGCAGGGACACCTTCCACTAGATCAGGTTGCTCAAAGCCCCCTCCAACCTGACCTTGAACACTGAATGGAAGATCAATTACTGAACAGCCCAGGCTGGAAGGGACCTCAGAGGATCATCTGGTCCAGCCTTTCATGGGAAAGGGAGCCTAGATGAGATTATCTAGCACCCTGTCCCATCGCACCTTGAAAACCTCCAGCAATGGGGACTGGAGAGGTCGTTCCAGTGAATGATGGTTCTCAGTGCAAAAAACTTTGGACTGGCCTTCTTCCGTCCTAAACACCTGTACCGTAGGACCTACATCCACAACTGAGGCCTACAGACACCAGAATCCAATGACAAAGCTATGGTGCCTTAGACAACTCAGCTGTTGCAACTGTCTTTATCACTAGCAGATGATTTAGAAAGTAGTTTACCTGAAATGCCATGTAAATGCCTTTGAACAAATGTAATGTTTTTTAGCAGTATCCTGACCATTCTTTTGAGCACTCCTGTGACAAATCTTCAAAATAATTTGCCTTGCCAGATGTTGCAACCACAAGCCCTTGCTGTGATCTAGGAGCACTGAAGGCGATAACGCACTGGAGGTGCACACAAAAGCTTCTGGGTGCGATCTGTCTGCACTACATGTCAACGAGCGACGTCTGTTTTACACTCCACAGAGCTGTGCTACGGATATGCAGCACCTGACCTGCAATGCTAACATCGGTCAGCTGCAACCGAATCCGCCAGTGCCCCCAACCTCCCGCAAGCACAGGGTTAAAATCTGCAGACCTTTCATCTGATAGTCAAAGGTTAGCTCTTCTCCAGCCTTGATGGTTCGTGTAGAAAACAGCGCTATTCGAGGAAGACGCAAGTCGAGGTTATCAATAAACACATTGAAGACTTGAAGATTTGGATCACACTGTAAGGCAAAAATTAATGTAGTTTCTGTTAAGAAAAATGCATGGTAAGTTTCAGTGAAGTGTTTAAGTAAACCAAGGTCACAGGAAAGGAAGAACTGGTTCTTCTCTCAGTGATAGAGGTCTGAAATTGTTACCTTCTGAAATCAACAAATTACCTCCTTGAAATAGTGTTAAAGGAGAACACTCCGAGCTTAGAGTCGAGTCCCTTCAAGAAGGCAACCTTCACACAGTACGTAGACTACACTAATACACAAGAGCCTATTAAAAAAACATGGTACCTTCCAAAGATGACATCAAAAAAAGATGACAAAGCAATTAAAGCTACATTCAGTGGTTAAGATTTAGTTACAAAACCCACAAAAAGAATTAAAAATGAAAGGAAAGAAAAGAAAAACAACCTAATATCTGAAGCCACACACATTCACTATTCTGCATTTAGGTTTAAGCACTGCTTCTAGGCCAGAAATAATATTTTCATACTATGAATAAATTTCTATTTTCAATTGCCAACCTGCATGGCTTCCGAATTATCTGCTCTGGGCTGGGTAGCAGGAGGAGGGTCAAGGACACTAAGCAGGAACCAGAAACCACTTTATTGTTTTTTCTGGATTAAGTGTCAAAAGTCAGGAGTCACTGAGGCAGTTTGTTAAACTCTGCACGCTTTTTTTGCTCTTTATCAGTAAAATATATCCCACGCTAAAGAACCTGAAGTTGTTAGACAGGCAACTTCACACTGAAGAGAGCAAATACTTCACTCCCATTTCTGAACGCAAAGAACAATTTGCTGTATCTAAAACTCTTTTTCATCCTTCTCCCTGGTGAGCTCACCTGAAATACAAACGTCATCAGCTCACAAATCTGAAGAAATGAATTTGCTGTGTATGTGGAATACTGACTGCATACCTCACAGACATTACATCAGTAGGAAGTAGTAATTTTTAATTCAGGAATGATACATAATTCCTTTACAGATGCAGTTCAGCCTTCTTTCTTTATTCTTCAGTTGAACAGGAAATAAAACACTACAAAATTTTCCTGTTTAAAATTTACTTTTGAGTTCTCTGGCAAGTTTAGATTTGACTCGAGGAGGGAAAAGGGACACTTATCTACAAGGCAGAAAAAACAAAGAATGCATAGGAATTTTCATTTTTTCCTCTACCAATGTCTGAAGGATGACATTCGGCATAACCCCCCCATCCTGTCCTGCTACAAAATAATGCATCAATTCCTATCGTTTTTAACTCTTCACTAATTTTATTAAGTACTTCTGGCGTGTTAGGTCTTTTAGTTACTTGGAAAAAAACACACCCAAACCAACCCTATTTTGGTTGTCAGAACCAGAAGACTCAGTGACAACCCCTGTCCTACCAGATGGCCACTTCAGGCAGCATCTCACTCCCACATTTTTGTAGGTAATCCTACTCCGAACGAGGCCAAGTATTCCATTCTATGTATTATGTCATCTAACTGACCAGACCGTGCTGGCATGAAACAAACTGCTCTAGAAAAACTGTGCACATGGTGAGAAAATATTTACAGCAGGAGAAGGTATTTCTGGCACAATTTGGGTAATTCTCCAAATTCTAGTATACAAAACAAGCTCTTACACTGTGATTCACAAAATGGGACACATTTCCATATCGAGCTGCATCTACTGTAAATTCATCTGAGTCATAGTCCAAATCAAACAAGTATGTATTTCCCTGGTTGTCATAGAGCTGGCCTCGTCTCTCTGCTTCCTCACTTGTAATCACCTAAAAAAAAAAAAAAGAAAAAAGAGAAAAAAGAAACCTGCATCATATTGGGAACTACTACTAAATTAAAACAAAAAACACAATCAACTTAGAAAAAAAAATTACTTCGTAAAAAACACCACATTCACTTTTTGAGGTTGAAATAGCATTCCATCTCTAGTGATTAAAGAATACATACATACAGCTGAACTAATTAGTTAGTGACTGAGGCTCCTCTGGATGTAATTTGTCAACAGCTGATGCACAACGCTACCTTGTCTGGGGGAAAACAAATACTCACACCTTCTATTAAGAGTTTTGATCATGACAGATGCAATCAACTGTTTCTACTTTAAGTTTCTACACACAAAATTTTTTCATTAGACCCAGAAAGCCTTGTTTACTTCACATAAAATTAAGTCTCAACTTTCTCCCTTTGCACAAAGATCAACAGGTATCAGTCTTTACAACCCAGTCACATTTACAGTCCAGTATTCATCTCCTCCCTTCCCTAGAAGCATCTCTTCCTGCTATTTTTGACTGCACTGAAAGATCCTATTCGTGACAAGTTAAACAGATACATCACTTCAAAAAGCTGAATCTATGCAATTAGGCACAAGGTAGAAATCCAGAAAGTCCCCAAAGGAACAGAAGAACTACAGTCACTTTTGACAGAAGCAACAGCTTAAACAACTTCATCTGCAGCCTATTACGTTAAATGTATTCCATTGTGCAGACTCAGCAAAGAAATCACAGTTTGGCAGCAAGACAAATACGAAATGTAGTATAACTGGACAAAAACCCCTCCAAAATCTTTGACAGATCAGATTTGAGAACTTAGCAGTAGGGAATAAGTAGATTCAGGTGAGAGG